TGAGGGTTAAATTATAATTTAAAAATAAAGTAAAAAAATATTATTTAAATAATTTATGTAATATTTGTGGATTTAAATATTATGTGAAAAATAATTTTTTATCATAATTAGTTTTTTTTTTTTTTTTATATTTGTGATTTGTGATTGATATTTATTATTTTGAAAAACTAAATAATTTAAAATTTATATAAAAATATGTATAAAGTAAATAATTTTATTCTTACTTGATTTCTTTTATTTACAATTTTGTTGTAATTGTTAATGTATTTTTTAAATTTTTATATTTAATAATTATATAATTATAATATATTACTTATAATTTTAATAATTATTAAAATGAAATTTATAAAAAATATTATTTTTGAATTAAAATAAAAAGAATGAGGAGTTGTATAAGTTTAATTTTTTAAATTTATAATTGAAATTGGAATGGGAATATGAATAGTATCATCATTATCGTATATCATATAACTCATAAATTATATTAATTTTAAAATATTATAATTATATTAATTTTATTAATATTTTTAATTTAAAAAATATGTGAGATTCACACATAAGCTTTTAACTAGAGTTATCACCGTGACAACCTTAAACTTATTTAAAGTAGATAGATTGACTTTTAGACAAAAAAAAATCTAATCCAAATATAAAGTTACACGAAATTACTTACAATTAAAATGACTTAAAAATACTATTTAAATTTGATCCAGGGTCCGCTCAATCACAATCAATCCGAAGATTTCATTTTTTTGGAAGAATAAAACTTTATTAAAATTCAACCAGGTAACACAATTATCCCAAAAGGGATCAAAAGTATCGCAAAGAAGCAAACTACACTATGCTAAGATTAACTATATTGACATGATTTTTAATTTTCCTATGCATAGAGCCTCACATAACCGTATTCTACTTTATAGTATCCACTACATTCTTTGCTAAACTTTGCTGTGAGAAAATGAACTTATTCCTACCATTCTAAATAGTATACACTGTCTCCGCTGCAACAATCTTTAACAGCTCTCTTTTTCAGCCTTTTTTACTTATCTCATTGATGATCCAAATCTTTTCATTTGCCCAACCATTAGGGTTATGGATAAAATCCAGCCATATAATAATATTCTTCCAGACTTTCTTCGTTTTATCACACTCAAAAACAGATGTTCTAAGCTCTCATCATGATTGCACTTACTATCAACATGAATCCCAAATTTCTGCAGCCTATCTTTTGTTGGAAATTTGCCAATCCACCTTATTATGCTCTCCCTTGATTTCCTTGTAGATAATAGCAGTGTGGAATTTCTCTTTCTGACTTTTCCAATACTCAGTATGTTCTACACTACTTCTGGCTTTCATAATCCCCTTAAGAATCCAAGAACAATTTTCAGGAATCTGCCAGTTCATAATGTCTTCACCTTTGATGTAGTACTCGTGAAGCCATTTTACCCAAAGCTTATCACTTTTGGCCTGTAAATTCCAGAGCAATTTACTCATACAAGCAGTATTCCAGTCGGTCAAGGAGGTTAAATTTAAGCCACCAACACTCTTAGGATAACAAACAGTTTGCCAAGCCATATGGGATTTCCTTCTAGTTTCATTTGTCCCACTCCATATAAAATTTCTACAAATTTCTTCAATCCTCTTTATAACCTTCTTGGGCATAGGGAAAATATGCATCCAATAAGCAGTTATAAATAGTAGAACACTCTTAATCAGCTGCAACCTACAAGCATAGCTCAATAAACTAGCAGTCCAATGTCTAATTCTACTAACTATGCACTCTATGAGAGGCTCACAATGAAAAACATTCAGTTTCCTACTACTTAGAGGGACCCTAAGATATTTGAAAGGAAGCTGACCTATGGTAAAGTGGGTAGCTCCTCTAATTTTCTGCTGAACCTGCTCACTAACCCCACCAAATTAGACCTTACATTTTGTTGGGTTTTCCTTCAGACCAGTTACTTCAGAAAACAAGTTGAATTCCCTCATCAAAATCTGAATAGAGATATCATCCCCTCTAGCAAACAAAGTCAAGTCATCAGCAAAGTAAATGTTGGTGATTTGCAACTTTTCACATCTTGGATGGTAGTTAAAGTTGGGGATGTTATTGAGCTTCTTAAGGAATCTATGAAGATACTCCATAATAAGCACGAAGAGCAAGGGAGACATAGAATCTCCCTGCCTAAGCCCTCTTTTTGCTTTCAAAATCTCACTTTGAGCTCTATTTATCAAGTGTTAATAAGAGACAGTTCTGACACAAACCATGATCCAAGTAATGAACTGATTTGGAAAGTTAATATCTCTCAAAATACCTTCTAGAGCATCCCACTCCACAGTATCATACGCCTTCTGGATGTCCATTTGGATGGCATATCTAGGGGATATGTGTTTCCTGCTATATCCGCGAAGCAATTCATGAGCAATAACTATGTTATCATGGATAACTCTGCCTGGAACAAAAGCATATTGACTTTCATCAATAACTTTGGATATCACCTTGCTAAGCCTTGTAGTGAGGATTTTTGAGATGATTTTATACAGAGTACTACAGCAGGCTATTGGTCTCATGTCTCTCATGGTGTCTGCATCTTTTCTTTTTGGTACGAGAGTAACTAGGGCACAGTTAGTAGCAGGGTAAAGTCTGTTATTGGTAAAGAGGTCTTTAATTGCAGCTTTAACATCCTCTCCTATGACTGTCCATGTTGTATTGAAAAATTTAGTTGTGAAACCATCAGTCCCAGGGGCTTTATTATCACCTATATTCGGAAGGGCATTCCAAATATCTTGATATGTGACTGGTTGAGCGAGGCTGATTCTATCTTCCTCTTGCACTTGGCTACCCTCTCTCAGAGAAACTATATCAATATGCCTTCTGTAATCAGTATTGGTCCCAATTAAATCTCTATAGAACCTAAGAACTTCCCCTTCTATATCTTGGTGTTCAGTCAGCTGATTACCATTAGGATGCTTAAGCTTGATGATACTAGTCTGCTTGTTCTTCCCTTTTATAATAACATGAAAATAATTTGTATTAGCATCCCCTTTCTGCAGCCAATTCAACTTGGATTTCTGTATCAAGATTTGCTCTTCTACGTCAGTAGTCTGCATCAATTCCTTAGTCTAGATTTTTACTTATTTGATGTACTTTGTGTTTAAGTCAGAATCAAGGAGTTTCTGAGCTTTCTACAGATGATCTCTACAATTTTGGATATTATGCACCCTATCAATTATTTTCCTTGTTATCTCTCTCATATCAGGTTCAAGTCTTTTCAATTTACTCCAGACTTTGAACATAGGTTTGCCAGGCAAGTCAAATTTCCAATTTTGCTTCACAATGTCCATAAACCCTGGGCTATCAACCATGCAGTTCAGAAATTTAAATCTATGGTGCTTCATATTCTTGTTATTTCTTTCTCATGTGACATTTATCTTGAGAGGGTTGTGGTCAGAAATGTGAGCTGACAGGATATGAATATCACTATTGGGGAACTTGAAGAACCACTCTTTATTACAAATGGCTCTATCAATCCTTGTACAAATCACTCCTTGAGTGTGATTGTTAGACCAAGTATAGTAGGGGCCTCTTGTCTCATGTTCAAACAGTCCATTATTCTCCATCATCTCTTGGAGGTCCTTGATTTCCATCTCATGAATAGGGTTTCCACCCATTCTATCTTTTTCTTTCAAGACATTGTTGAAGTCTCTAGCTATAATCCAAGGTCCAGTAATAGTAGCAGAGATTTTGGTGATATCATTCCACAAAAACTTCCTCTGAGCCAATTGGTTATGAACATAGATGACAATCAAGTAGTGTGATCTAATCCTATTTATGTTTTTAATCTCACAATGGAGATATTGATCAGAGATTTGCATATGATTAATCTGCATTTTAGTGTCATCCCACATAAGCCATACTCTTCCATTTGAGTGTTTATCAAAGTCATGAAGCTAACTCCACTTGTTACCAAACTTTTTCTCACAACTTCAACATTATTCTTTTTCACTCTAGTTTCTAAAAGGGTTGCACAGTTCATATTCAGTTTATTGATGTGAACACTTATCTCAATGTGCCTAGCCCTTTTATTTATTCCTCTAACATTCCAACTTAACATCATAAAAAAAGGGGTTAGAAGTTGATGGGATACCTCCACACCCAAGAACTCCAAATCCATTAGTACGTCCAAACAAGTCTTCTCCACTTTTCCCCGTTGCCATCATCTCTATTATGTGTTATTTCCCTTTGTGTCTGCTAGTTGATTTAACCTCAGTCCATTTTCCTCCTGCACATTTTCTATCCCTTGTGGTATTTCCTCTACTACTTTAAGTTGTTCTGCCTTAGGATTTTCCACTTCATGTTTTTTAATTTGTTTGGGTTTCCAAGTGTTGTTTTTCTTCGGATGACTTTTGTATTTGCACTCATGTCCAAACTTATTGCATTTCTTGCAAAATAAGGGTTTCCATTCATACTCCACTTTTTGCACTATTAGGTTTCCATTAGGGTGTCTAATTCTAATGTGGTCTTTAAGCTCCATTGTCACATCCATTTCAATTAGAACTCTTGCATAGGAAACTCTCAACTTCTTTAATGTACATTCATCAGTCATCAAAGGTTTCCCAATGACACTTGCTACTTTTCTAATGGTGTTATCCCCCCAGAATATGATTAGTAGTTGGGGGAAAATAACCCATAGGGGAAGGACTCTTAGCAGATCTTCCATTAGCTTAAACTCTGGTGTCCACTCATGAAGGAATAGAGGTCTTCGATAGATTGTGTAGGGCCCTCTCATAAGAACCACATCCTTATCTACCTTGTTTTTAAACCTAACAATAAAGTATCCTTCATCATTGTAGTAAAGTCCAGGCATAGTAACAAAATTTCACACATTTTCCATAAACTTTCTCACCGCATTCATTGATAATTCCTGCCTTAGCGCATACATAATCAATGAGTTTTACCACTAAATCACTTCTCCTGCTATATCCTGCTCAGTGATAATCACTTATATCTCTCCATTAACAATCGAAGGTGCAGTATATTCCATTTTGCTACCATTAGAAGCTAATATGTTGCCTTTTATGATGTCCACCCAAGGCCGTGTTTGATCCTGCACTTCCTCAACAATCGTTTCCAGCTTCTGATTTTCCTTTGTCTCCTCTTCAGCTTCTACTCCCTTCTTGCTTGATTCCGCTTCTGTCATGATTTTGTGTAGATCCTCTATGTGAGCAATGGCCAGTGGTGTGAAAACTCTTACCACCGTCGGGGTTGTCGTTGTCGCCTTTTTCTTTGGTGGTCGGCCTCGACTTCGTCCCATGATGCCCTAATACGTCTTTCCCAGATTCTTCTCTCTGCTTCTCCTCTCCGATTAGGCCCCTAATCCCAGGATTAGGAGTTTAAACTGAAGACTTCATTCTAATTTGAAAATGGACTTAAATTTATAATAAATTTTTTTATTTATAATAATTAAAAATGATACATAAAAATTTAATTATATATTAATAAAAAATATATTTAACTATATAATTATTTTGATTTTTGATCAATCTTATTTTTTTTTATGTATTGACTTTTTATTATAGTTTTTTTAATTTATTACATTTTTATTATAACATTTTTAGATCTATTAATATTAATAGAAACAAATTAGATATTTTAAAATTTAGGAACTCTCAAAATTTGAGATAATGTGCTGTAGAATTTATTGATGTTGTACTGGGTCGGTCCTGTTAGCAAATCTGGTAACTGACCTATTTATTAGAATGAAATACTGCTATATAAATAGCTTACAAAAAAGAAAACTGAATTGAATGCTTCCTAAGAATCAGGGCCACTAAGTCATACTTGACTCCCTACAATTTAGGCTTAATTAAAACTAACAACCATGATCCTCTCACGATCAATAGAGACTAAGTCAGTTACATATAACAAATAACAATTAATAACAATATTAATAATAACATAACAATTCTCCCCCTAAACTAGACTGTCTAGTTTATCTCTGAGATGTCACATACGCCAAGCTTCTTCCTGAGCTCTTGAAAGACTTCAAGCTTGAGCGGCTTAGTAAAGATATCAGCTATCTGCTGTTTGGTGCCGCAATAATTCAATTGAACCTTTCCTTCATTTACTAAATCACAGAGGAAGTGAAAGCGCACATCAATATGTTTGCTCTTACCATGCATAACCGGATTCTTTGAGAGCTTGATGGTAGAACTGTTATCACAAAAAATCACTGGACTTTTGCTTCCATTGTAGTCCAATTTGGACAACACCCTCTTCATCCAAATCAGTTGGCAGGCACAAGCTAACGCAGCTACGAATTCTGCTTCGGTGGTGCTGAGTGTGACTATAGGCTGTTTCCTTGATGACCATGCCACCGCTGCATTGCTAAGTATAAAGGCATAGCCCGAGGTGCTTTTCCTGTTATCGATACATCCGGCATAGTCGCTGTCTATGTATCCCACAAGCTCCTGATTGCCTGATCTTTGATAGAAAATCCCAAAACACATAGTTCCTTGCACATACCTCAGTATTCTCTTTGCTGCCATAAGATTTATCTCAGTTGGCTTTGCCATATATCTACTGACTACACTAACTGCATACATCAGATCCGGCCTGGTAGTGGTTAAATATATCAAGCTACCAACAAGTTGCTTGAACATGGAGCTGTTTACTGTCACACCTGTATCATCTTTATCAATTTTAACCCCAGGAACAGTAGGATTTAGGACCAAGTTGCTTTTATCCATTCCAAACTTCTTCAAGACCTCTTTGGCATATCTCTTTTGAGAGATGAAGATTCCACTGTCAATCTGCATAACCTCTAAGCCAAGGAAGAAGTGCATTCTTCCCAGATCAGTCATTTCAAATTCCTCCATCATTGATTGTTTGAATTCTTTCAACATAGCTTCATCATTCCCAGTATAAATCAAATCATCAACATATAGGCTAACGATCAAATTCTTCCCTTGTTGATTGATCTTGGTGAACAAGGTTTGTTCGCTTGCTTCTTTATCAAAGCCCATGTTTCTGAAGTATGCTTCAATTCTGCTAAACCAAGCTCTCGGTGCTTGTTTAAGGCCGTATAAAGCTTTCTGGAGCTTGTATACCTTAGTCGGCTCATGCTTCAATTCATATCCTTTTGGTTGATCAACATACACCTCCTCTGTAAGTTCACCTTGTAAGAATGCGGACTTCACGTCGAGCTGATACACAACCCAACTTCGTTGTGCAGCAAGAGCCAAGATCATACGCACAGTGTCTAGCCTTGCCACTGGCGCGTATACTTCTTCATAATCAATTCCGTGTTGTTGCGCATATCCCTTTGCTACTAAGCGAGCCTTATACTTGTCAATCTCACCATGTTGATTCAATTTTGTTTTATACACCCATTTAACCCCTATGCTTGCGAATTCCTTTGGTAATTCAACTAGAGTCCAGGTTCCATTCTTTTCAATGGACTGAATTTCAGCATCCATGGCTTTCTTCCAGTTGGTATTTAGCACAACTTCCTCAAAGGATTGGGGGTTAAAACATGCTGCCACATCAGAGTTTGAAACAACAGAGTTCACCACATAATCCTCCATCCACCTTGGAGCTCTTCTGTTACGTTGGCCCACTGCTGCAGATTTTTCTATTGTAGCTACTACATTATCATCCTCAGTAGCAATCTCAGTCCCAGCTGCATTCTCAAGCTCCTCATTCTCAGCTGTTGAGTGACTTGTATCTCCACTGTACTCGATGGCTTCTTCATGCTCTGATTGATCTTGTGGTGTCACTGTATCACTCTCTTGGTCAACAATAGTAGTATCCATATCTCCACAATCAAGCTGATCTTTGTTAAATTCTGAGTGACTTGTATTCCAATCCCATTTCTTATTTTCTTAGAACACGACATCCCTGCTAACAATGATCTTTCTTTTAATGGGATCATATAACCTATATCCTTTCGACTCAGCACTTACTCCAAATAAAACACATTTAGTGCTCTTGTCGTCAAGCTTGACTCTTCGAGCATCTGGAATGTGGACATGAGCAATGCAACCAAAAACTCTGAAGTGCTCGACTGTGGGCTTCACTCCAGACCAGGCCTCTTCAAGAGTCATTCCTTTTACGGCAGAGGCGGGGCTCCTGTTAAGCACATGGAATTCCCAATTAACCGCTTCAGGCCAGAAAATCATAGGCACTTCCTTCTCGGCAAGTAAACTTATGGCCATGTTCATGACAATTCGGTTTTTCCTTTTGGCAACTCCGTTTTGTTGTGGCTTGTAGGCTGTGGTGAGCTGTCTTTTTATCCCTTCTTGTCTACAATAATTAGTAAACTCGTGTGAGGTAAACTCACCTCCACGATCAGTTCTCAAGCATTTCACAAATAAACCAGACTCCCTTTCTACCCGACTTTTAAATTGCTTGAATGTAGAAAATGCATCACTCTTATAAGCAATAAAATACACCCAAGCCTTCCTACTAAAGTCGTCAATGAAACAGATGAGGTACCTTTTTTGACCATGTGACGTTGGCGAGATGGGACCACATAAGTCGGCATGTATAAGCTCCAATAGGGCTTCAGCTCTCCACATGGATTTTCTTGGTATGATCTCCCTGTGTTGTTTTCCTTTCAAACACTCAGTGCATACAACAGTAGTTTCTCTAGCAGCAATGATTTCTCCAAGATTTGGCAAGCCTTTAACCATGTTGTTGCTTGTCAAAGTTTGAAGTCCAGTATAACTAAGGTGGCCATACCTGCAGTGCCATAGATGAGCAATTTCTTGGATGTCAGTTTGGAAGCAGCATTCACCTGACTCATTGGTAGCCGAGGAGGTCTTCGAGAGCAATATGAACATTCTGTTGAGTGTCATTCTGCTTTCAAGGATAAGGCCCTTTAATGGATGATAGATTTTGCACTCATTGTTCTTGATTAGAAAGGCCAAGCCTTTCTCCTGCAACTGTCCGATACTTAGTAAATTGTTCTTCAATTCTGGAATATAGAACACTTCTTGAACAACATAACAAACACCGCCAAGATTTAACCTAACACTCCCTTTTCCCACAACCTTCATCCTCATATGGTTCCCTAGACTGACTTCTCTTTTGAACCCTTCCTCCATGGTACAAAAGAGAGAGATGTCTCCGCTCATGTGGTTGCTGCACCCGCTGTCTAAGAACCATGCAGTCTCTCCTTTTTCCCCTGATGCTTCAATATAAGCCATAAGAAGCATTTCTTCATCCTTACTCATCTCAGCATAATTAACCGTCTTCTCGAGATTAGGGAATTCATATTGAAAATGCCATAATCGGTGGCATTTGTAACATTCAATTGTTGCTTTATTGTAGCTTTGACGGCCTCGTCCATGACCTCTTCCTCCTCTGAAGTTGTTTCTCCCTCGTCCTTGACCACCGGTGTTACCATAAGAAACCGCCAGTGCTTGTTCTTCATCTGGTTCCCTCTTGAACTTTTGTTCATGGACCAAGAGGGGACTTTGCAAGGCATCAACTGTGAGCTCATCAACATCATTAGCTTCCTCAATGGAACACACAATGTAATTCCATTTCTCCGTCAGTGTTCACAAAATTTTCTCTACGATTTTGACATCTGTCATGTCTTCACCGCAATTTCGCATGTCATTGGCTATGGTCATCACCCTTCCAAAGTAGTCATTGACTGACTCCCATTGTTTCATAGCCAACACCTCGAATTCTCGTCGAAGTCGATTGAGCTGAGCACGTCGAACCCGATCATTTCCTTGGTACTTCATCTTCATGGAGTCCCACAACTGCTTGGAAGTGTCCTTCTTGGTGATGGTTCTCAGAATTGATTTGTCCAAGGATTGGAACAAATAATTCTTCGCCTTCAAATCCTTAAGTTTCAAATCATCCAGGGTCTTCCTTTGCGCATCTGTCTGCACTTCTCCTTCTTTGGGCAACATGTAACCGTTCTCCACCACGGGCCAATATTCTCTGGATCTCAAGAGATTTTCCATGACCATCTTCCAGTGATCGTAATCTCCATCGAATCTGGGAATGGAGGGTACAGAAAATCCACCATTCTTCTCTTCGGATCCCATACCCCAAACACTCTATTTTGTGGTACTCTCACACTTTTGGATCCCTCACACTTTTGAGGTCTTTCTCGCTCTGATACCAGATGTTAGCAAATATGGTAACTGACCTATTTATTAGAATGAAATACTGCTATATAAATAGCTTACAAAAAAGAAAACTGAACTGAATGCTTCCTAAGAATCAGGGCCACTAAGTCATACTTGACTCCCTACAATTTAGGCTTAATTAAAACTAACAACCATGATCCTCTCA